AGACAGCGCATCACATTTAGCACCTTCTTACACTTTCCCACCACTCCCTCAATGTGTTCTGCCCAGGTCAGTCTAGTATCAAAGTATACCCCAAGGAATCTGAAGGCCCCCACCCTCTCCAGGTTTCTCCCATATAACCTCAAGCATACCTAATCTCCCACCTTCCTCCTGGTAAAGAACACTGTTTGAGTTTTCTCTACAGAGAACCTGAATCCCCACATTAGTGCCCACCGCTCTACCTCATCAATTGCTTCCTGTACCTTCCTGACTATGTATGGCACATTTCTTCCCCTCTTCCATAAGGCACCATCATCTGCAAATAATGACCTCCCTATATCCGGCTGTACCTGAGAGTAAACATCATTGATCATGATTGAGAACAACAGAGGACTAATCACGCTCCCCTGCAGTGTACCATTATCCACCAAGTAGCTGCCTGATAAAGACTTCCCCACCCTCACCTGGATAGACCTTCGAAACAGGAAATCCTTTATCCAGTTGTACATTCTTCCTCCTACCCCCATAATATCTAGCTTGATTAACAACCCCTCCTTCCACATCATATCATACGCCTTCTCCACATCACCGAGTGGCGCAGTGGTCTAAGGCACTGCATCGCAGTGCTAGCTGTGCCACTAGAGATCCTGGTTCGAATCCAGGCTCTGTCGTAGCCGGCCGCGACCGGGAGACCCATGGGGCGGTGCGCAATTGGTCCAGGGTAGGGGAGGGAATGGCCGGCAGGGATGTAGCTCAGTTGATAGAGCATGGCGTACGCCAGGGTTGTGGGTTCGATTCCCTCAGGGGGTATGAACAAAAAAAAATGAAAAAAAAGTATAATAATAATGTGACTAACTGTAAGTCGCTCTGGATAAGAGCGTCTGCTAAATGACTAAAATGTAAATGTAAAAAAGACAGCTACAACAGTCTCCTTGTTCACCTGAGCCTTCCTGACCTCAGCTTCTAAGCAGAGCACTGGATCCATAGTTCCCCTACCCTTCCTGAACCCACTCTGATGTGGCGTTACTAGCCCTCTGCTCTCCAGGAAGTAAGTTTGCCTCTCCGTGATCATACGTTCCATAATCTTACATACATGTGATGTTAAAGCTATTGGCCGATAGCTTATTGGCTTCGTTGGATCCTTCCCGGGCTTCCGGATTGGTACCACTACTGCCTCCTTCCAACTGCCTGGTAGTTTCCCCTCCTCCCACACTCTGTTGTACAACACCAATACCTTATCCAGTGCCTCATCACTAAGATGGGCCAACATAACATAGCACACCTCATCTTTCCCAGGTGAAGTTAACCCTCCCTTACCTATTGCTCTTTTCAGCTCTGCCCTGGTAAATGGTGCACTCAACGCATCATTTACATCCTCCCTCCTTTCCAGCACTCCAGGATGCTCCTCTCTCCTGTTCTCTCTCCCCCTCTGCCCCTCCTCTGACAGATTTGCTGAGCTATGCATTTGAACAAATGCTTTGACCATCATCTCTGCTTTCTCCTCATCTGTTATTGCCACATCCTCCCCACTCGTCAACACTGGATAATCCCACTCCCTTCTGATCCCACTCATCCTCTTAATCATCCCCCACACTTCTCCCACAGGTGTCGCCCTTCCAATGGTGTCACAGAACCGATGCCAACATGACCTCTTTGCCTGACGGATAGTTCTCCTCACCATGGCCTGGGCCTGCTTATATTGAATCAGATGTTAGAAATTATGCGTCCTTTTCAGTACTCTAAATGCCCTGTTCCTAATCCTCACCATTGCCCCACATTCCTCCGTCCACCATTGGACTGCTTTCCTCCTCCTCCTCCCTGAACTCTTAGGTATAGCCTCAGTAGCTGCCCCCACTAACGCTGTTCTCACCCAGTTATTCATACTATCTATATCCCCTCTCATATCCACCCGAGCCATCACCTGCTCACTCAGCTCCTGAAATTGATCCCACTTTGCCCTTCCAAACACCCACCTGCCTACTCCCTTCACTGACACCTCCTCCTCCCTTCGGCCTACTGTGCATAGAACGGGGTAATGATCACTCCCTACTGTCGACTCCTCCCATACCTCCCACTCACATATTCCTGCCATCACACTAGATACCAGAGTGAGGTCCGAGGCAGACTCTTTCCCTGTGGCTACATCAATCCTGGTCCCTCGGCCATCATTCAGGCACACCAGATCTTTATTTTCTATCAAATTTTCCATCACTTGTCCATTTCCATCCATCCGTTTCCCCCCCCCCAAAGCATGTTGTGGGCGTTAAAATCCCCACACCACACCACATTACCTTACTTCTTTCCTGGCCCTCCATCCTCTCCAGCACTTCCACGTCCAATATCTGACACGGATTATAGTAATTCACTACCACAAGCACCCCTCCTCTCAGCCACACCCCCACCATCACATACCCCTGTTCAATAACTTTGCCTATCATCTTGTAGGGAATTCCTTGCTTTATGAAGGTGGCACATCCCCCCTCCCCCTATATCTCGTTCCCTACGAACCACTACATATCCCTGTATAATAAACTCCACATTCGGTTTGAGCCATGTTTCCTGCACACAAATCACATCCAGCTTAGCTAGCATATCAACAATGAACTGCTTGAATTCCTGCCCATTAGCCAACAGGCTTCAAGCATTCCATTGTAGTACTACTACCATAACTAAGATCCAGTAATACATGACTCCACCATCGGCTGATTGAGGTCATCTCGAACCTCTTCCCATGTCAACCCTGTCATACTCAAACGTCTCCCAGCAGCTTTCACTATTAGTTTAATCCTCTCCGTTTTAGACTCTACTTTATCGGTGCTATTGATAGCTCCTGCTATGAACGTCACCAGCTTTCTCTTTTCTATGTATACCATATCGCTGCCCACCTGCCCCGTAATCTCCGGTCTAGATGCTCCTAACCTTCTCTCCCTTGAACCTGTATCTCCCTGGACCTGGACCACCCTCACTGCCTCAGCATATGACACCCTTCTCTCCTGGACCACCCTCACTGCCTCAGCATATGATACCCTTCTCTCCACTCTCACTTGTTGCACCTCCACTGCCTTCTTCATAGCCTCACACCCACTATATGCCACACTATGAGCACCCTTACAGCTGCAGCACTTTGGTTGTCCACCATCTCCACACTTCCCATACTCATGCTCCCCTCCACACCTGGCACACCTCTTTTTCTCTTTACAGACTGTTGCCACATGCCCAAACCTCTGGCATTTATAACATCTTAAAGGTTTAGGTACATAAGCCCTCACATAGTAACTCATATATCCTATTGTTACCTTATTTGGCAGTACCCGGTCCTTAAAATGTAACAGAATAGACATGCTATCTACCCTATCTCCACCCCTTGTTGCTTGCAATCTTTGTGCATTCACTAGAATGCCTCCTCTCAAATGTTCCCTTACCTCTTTAGTGCTAACACTCACAGGCACTCCTGTTATCACCCCTTTACTCCACTGCTTCCCTGCTTGGTCAGACCAGCTGCTCGACACCACCTTACACTTCCCTATTTGCTTCACTCCGATAGCTTTTTCCCCCTGCGCCATGTCCTTACAGAACACCAACAAGCTCCCATCTCTTAACACTTTAGCATTAACAACTTCCTCAATCAACTCTTTTATCACAGCCGTCAACCTTATCGGACTCATCGCCCCAACTCCCCCTTCCTCCCTAAACTTCATAATCACTTTATGCTCCTCCTCACCTCCATGTTCCTCTTGTGTCTTATCTTGCCCTTCCTCTGCACTTTCTACCTCCGAACTTCCACTATCGTTGGAATCTAGGTTGCTCTCCTCAAACTTCATTTTCTGCCTGCTCTCTACTTCCATAGACCTCTCGCTCCCCTTCATATCCCTACTCCCTTTCTCTCCCGCTTTCTTTTTCTTTTTCTCTTTCTTACTCCCTCCTTTATTTGTACCACTATGTTCCATACTTGCTTCCCTTTCCTCTCCATCACTATCTCCTACCATCTCTGACCCATTCACAGCACGGCCGTGCAGAACCTCCGCCACACAGAGTAAAGTTTGTTTGTTTCTCAATGATTTCAAAAATCCCTCTCCTCAACGAAATTCCCGCCCACGAGCCTAGCTCAAATTTGATCAATTGTGGGATTGATATGACCCACAATTCAAACGCAAACTGTAGTCACATGTGGTCCTCTGTAGCTCAATTGGTAGAGCATGGCGCTTGTAACGCCAGGTTAGTGGGTTCGATTCCCGGGACCACCCATACGTAAAAAAAATGCACACATGACTGTAAGTCGCTTTGGATAAAAGCGTCTGCTAAATGGCATATTATTATTATATTCTCCGGTGGCCACAAAGTGTCAAATTTAATCAACACAGCTGCATTTTCGGCATGTCAAACAAAATTATGAAGCTAGCTTGCTAAAAAATATATATAGATGACATTGAATTTAGCGTTGGCAAATTGGCTTAGTCTCGTAGTGAGGACCTTATAAAACATATTGAAATAAATGACCAAACTATAAAACTAGCTAGCCAGCTATGGGTAACTGTAGCTAGCTACCTGACAGGAGTGCTAGCTAGCTCCCTCCATGAGACGCCATCTTCTTAACTGGCTTAATTTGGCTTCAATGTGCTATTGAGTCGTCACATAGAAAGAATGGTGTCACGTGATCAATGGCTTTGTCCATTATTTTTACAGTCATTGGCATAAACAGAGGCAATAAAACAGAGGATAGACTATTTATGGTGGGCTGTCCATCTCTCTCACTATGAATGTGTAATCAGGTCGCCATAGTACAGCTTGGCTGGGTCAGTTCAGTAGTCTGAAAAGGGTGTGCCATAATATGTGTATTCTTTGCTTTAGTTTAGAAATAATACAATGCAGCAAGAAAGAGAGCTTGTAAAATGTGGTACATTTTTAAACACACAGGTGGCGCTGTGATTGAGTTCTTCGATTGAGGCGCTGCATCACCATAGAGAAAGAAGCTTTGTGACGTCATTTAAACAACTTTAGCTGATTGGCAGATGTGGCTTTGTGACGCAAAATAATGTTTACCAGCAAAGGGGTGAAGTTACCATCTTCTATAGACAATATTGAATTAAGTTATTTCTTTATTTTCACTAAATCTAATCAAATTATCGGACGTTTGGTAGGTGCCAAATTGTAACTCCTAACCCTACATTGTCGAGTGAATTATTGTGGCTTCCGTTTTACAAATAACTTTAGCTAGCTAGCTTTTACAACTGGACAAAAGAAAGACCAACGGCAACTGGTTGTCGCTGGGCCTTGTTGTGTAGCCTTTGTTTCAACGGAGGAAAATTCTACATTTTGCTTGATATTTCGGATATAGACCCAACTTGGGCTCTTTGCTATTCAACGTCTGGCTGATGAGATAAATAGCATCTAAATTCGAAAATGAAAACTGAAGTCTCAACAGCGGCCAGCTTTGTTGCCAGATTGCTGAGAGCAACTGGATACTTGTCAGAAGACCAACTGAAAGAGTTCACCCATTCCTTGGAGGAAGCTTTAGGAGGTATGTAGCTAGCTCGGTAAAAGCCATTGTTGTGTTGTTGACATCACATAGCCTATAGACTACTAGTTAGTTACTATTAAGCAAAGTAGCTAATTACCTCTGCTCTGGGTCTAATGGTTTGCTCTCATTGCCTTCTCTACAGAGCACTACCAATACCACTGGTTCCCCCAGGCTCCATGCAAAGGCTCGGGTTACAGATGTCTCAGGATCAACCACAAAATAGACCCCTTGATTGGCCAAGCAGCATGCACCATTGGACTCACTCGAGAACAACTCTTCTCCCTGCTGCCCAGTGAACTGACGATGTGGGTCGATCCGTACGAAGTGTCCTATCGGATAGGAGAGGACGGCTCCATCTGCGTCCTCTACGAGTCCACACCACCAATGCCAACTAATGCCAACACAACAGACATGGTCAGCTGCAAGGAAGAACTGAGATTCGGAAGGTCAAGCCCCTCTAAGTCGTTCATGATGACCGTCTCAAGCTAATATTTTTATGTTCAGAGCTTTCTCTGGGCACTTCTGTATCAGTTCTGCCCCACATTTTGATGTAATTAATTAAGACATTAAAAGGCATACTTAGGGATTTTGGCAATGAGGCCCTTTTTCTACTTCCACAGTCAGATAGAAATGGTATCCACGAGTTAATCTATCTGTGTCAGGTATGTTTTGTAAGCCAATGCTAACTAGTGTTGGCAAAATGACTGGAAGTTTATGGGTATCTGTTAGCATGCTAGCAGATACCATAGACATCCAGTCATTATGCTAACACCAGTTAGCAATTGCACAAGCGCTAGTTAGCAACTTCCTTCATACTGGACACAGAGACATATAAATGGTATCCACGAGTTCATCTGACTCTGGGGAAGTAGATAAAGGGCCTCTTTGCCAAAACCCCGAAGTATCCCTTTAACGATTTTAGTATTACTGCACACCCTGTTTATTCCATGAGTTCCATGATCTGTAAATGATGTACTGTCCTGAAACAAAAGTTTTATAGATTTATATTATTTGGAATAAATTCCTCAAAAACAATTGTTCTGCCATGGTTTCTCTATCAACAATGGTCTCGTGTTGGTCAGGATCATGGTTGTGTTCAGTAGGCATGAAAATTGGAAAAATGGACACACAAAATAAAAATGCATGTTCTTATTGGACATTCATTTCTCCTGTTTAGTGCCCACTGAACACAACCCAGTTGATTGAGGCATCTGTATGTTCCAGAGGGGAAGGCTGCCATTGTAAGCTCAGGTGTATTCATTACACCAATTGTTGCGAAATGTTTTGCAACAAACCGTTTGCTCCAAAATGTTTTTTTGCAACAAAAAATTGTTTATATTGGACAAATTCCGGTAGGTCCCTCCCCGTTTTGTTCCGTTTGCTTCTGTTTGGATAGTAAACGGTTTCTGTTGCAAGATGAAATGAATACACCCCAGGTGTTGAGATCAGGTTGAAGATAATTTGTTAGATGGCGGGCTATTTTTATTTTATTTTATTTTATTTATTTTTTTATTTCACCTTTATTTAACCAGGTAAGCCAGTTGAGAACAGGTTCTCATTTACAACTGCGACCTGGCCAAGATAAAGCATAGTAGTGCAATAAAAATAAAAAAACAACAACACAGAGTTACATATGGGGTAAAAAACATAAAGTCAGAAATACAACAGAAAATATATATACAGTGTGTGCAAATGTAGCAAGTTATGGAGGTAAGGCAGTAATAGGCTATAGTGCAGAATAATTACAATAGTATTAACACTGGAATGCTAGATGTGCAAGAGATTATGTGCAAATAGAGATACTGGGGTGCAAAAGAGCAAAATAAATAACAATATAGGGATGAGGTAGTTGGGTGGGCTAATTTCAGATGGGCTGTGTACAGGTGCAGTGATCGGTAAGGTGCTCTGACAACTGATGCTTAAAGTTATTGAGGGAGATAAGAGTCTCCAGCTTCAGAGATTTTTGCAATTCGTTCCAGTCATTGGCAGCAGAGAACTGGAAGGAATGGCGGCCAAAGGAGGTGTTGGCTTTGGGAATGACCAGTGAGATATACCTGCTGGAGCGCAGACTACGGGTGGGTGCTGCTATGGTGACCAATGAGCTAAGATAAGGCGGGGATTTGCCTAGCAGTGATTTATAGATGGCCTGGAGCCAGTGGGTTTGACGACGAACATGTAGTGAGGACCAGCCAACAAGAGCGTACAGGTCACAGTGGTGGGTAGTGTATGGGGCTTTGGAGACAAAACGGATGGCACTGTGATAGACTACATCCAATTTGCTGAGTAGAGTGTTGGAGGCTATTTTGTAAATGACATCGCCGAAGTCAAGGATCGGTAGGATAGTCAGTTTTACGAGGGCATGTTTGGCAGCATGAGTGAAGGAGGCTTTGTTGCGAAATAGGAAGCCGATTCTAGATTTAACTTTGGATTGGAGATTCTTTATGTGAGTCTGGAAGTTGAGTTTACAGTCTAACCAGACACCTAGGTATTTGTAGTTGTCCACATACTCTAGGTCAGACCCGTCGAGAGTGGTGATTCTAGTCGGGTGGGCGGGTGCCAGCAGCGTTCGATTGAAAAGCATGCATTTAGTTTTACTAGTGTTTAAGAGCAGTTGGAGGCTACTGAAGGATTGTTGTATGGCATTGAAGCTCGTTTGGAGGTTTGTTAACACAGTGTCCAATGAAGGGCCAGATGTATACAAAATGGTGTCGTCTGCGTAGAGGTGGATCTGAGAGTCACCAGCAGCAAGAGCGACATCATTGATATACACGGAGAAAAGTGTCGGCCCAAGAATTGAACCCTGTGGCACCCCCATAGAGACTGCCATAGGTCCAGACAACAGGCCCTCCGATTTGACACACTGAACTCTATCTAAGAAGTAGTTGGTGAACCAGGCGAGGCAGTCATTTGAGAAACCAAGGTCACCTGGATCCTGAGCTGCAGCTGACTCAACATACTGACCCTATGTATTAGAGGTTCTGATCTTCCATCCCTTCACGAAAGGCAGGGGAGCAGTGCCATAAGCATGTTTGACCACTCAGACTTAGTATCGCACAAAGTTAATTTATGAATAACACCGATTTTGTAATGATAGTGAAGAGTAAAATGGTGGCAGGTTTATGAGCACAGGAGGAGCACAATGGAGGGTGTAACCCTAAACCTGCAATGAGGTTGAGAAATGGCATTTCTAGTCTGTAAAGAGCAAAAAGGATGATTAAGATGGACAGTTATTGGTCAGGATGAAAACCAGCACACACTCGAGGAATGAAGCTTGGGAAGTAAACTGAAGCTTCAGATTCTCATCAACAAAGCAGATGTATGATAAACAGCTGCTAGCAATTGTAGAATACTTTTTAGGGGAACATATTTGCCATTGCATACATCATAGATTACTTTGTCCTTTCTTCTGGTTTTGTATTTCCATCTACAGTTAGGCCTACTGCTCTCTCAATGGGAGTGAAATAATATGCTTTTTGTCAAAAACAAATCATTGGTGGTAATAAGCACAATATAAAATTACAAAAAGTATTTGTTTTGGCTGGTTTGTTGTCCCTGAGGTGAGATGATATGGACCCAAAAGGCTTGAATTTCTGCTCTTGTCAAAGTAACTCATTTATCATTCAGTTGATCTGTTACAGCAATGAACCATTTCCACATACTTACCTTTTTTCAATAAGACAGTCATAAAAGGTCAGCACAGTTTCAGTGTCTAGGTACGACTTGTCCTGTGCAGCAGATTCTATAAAGACTCCCCTGAAACCTCTTTTTATATCTAAAGCAGACTTCAGTGAAAGTACACCTCTGTTTAAGTAATCAAATCATAACCACATGCTCATGGAGGGCAAGATTCTGAGTAGCAAATAAATGGGGAATAAATGATGGGGGGGAAATGGTCTCTCACACCTTACACAAAAACTATGGAAGCATGTTTGTATCTACTGTATCATATATATTGTCTCACTCTGGGAATTCACTTCTAGGACCACACATCTACTTTATAAAAAATGTGCCAAAGTTCTCATCTCATCACCTTTGAATATAAGTGAGATTGCTTTGCAAAAGTATGCTGAGTATGATGAATATAATAAATGAATGCTAATAAAAATGGAAATTACACCATATTGTTATTGCATTAAAAGGATTTTAAATATCTCACATGCCAATTGGAAAAATGAGGCATGGAAAAACATGAGAACAGCCAGAGGAGAACCTTGTATATCCTTTCATGGAAAATGGAGGAAAACTGTCAAGGTACTTAGGATGATGAATGTTTTTAATTTGTATAGAAGCAAATGAGAGATAGTTCAATTGTTTATGTGTACAGCCTAGTTTGAGCGCAACAGTTTAAACAAGCCTTACACATACTTTTAGGTATGCATTTGTCTTAATACTGGCTTCTCCCATAGTTGGACAAGCTCTCAAGTAAAACTGTTTTCTTCACATGAACCAAGTTTGAGCAACTGGAGGTGGACACCTGCACTCTACATTTTTTTTTATAGAAGGGGCCGACAGTAGATGCTGACTTGTAACAAACGCTTCTACACAAAACATTTCCCCCAAAAAACCAGAGAGACCAGGGGAAACATTTTTGTTGGAGTTTTAAGTCAGAAAGGGAGGTGTTAGTAAGAAGAATACATTCATTTCTTCATTGCTTGCTTTGGCATTAGATTTTATAATCACATCATGCAAAAGAGTTCTGTCCAAAATTCCAGTAATCATATCCCACTGCTCTTTACGTTTAAGTTCTCTCTCTTTCTCCACTCTGTCCACACCAGTCAGTATTTTCCAGATAAATAGTTCTTATTTTTAAAAGCCAGCCTTTTTCCATGAACTTTTTCCAACTTTTTTTTCCAACATACACAGCACAGGGGGTTTGTCAGTCCATCCAAGAGGCACAAAGGTCTTCTTTTTATTTCAACATAATGGTTGAATTTATAGGGATGCAGGGGTCTGTGACAACAAGTTGCATAAAAAATAATAATAAGGCAAACAAGTGGGTGTGATATGCATTTTACACTCTTGATATACATGTTCATATTTTAATCACTTTATAACACTAGTACTTTACATTTTATAATTTCAACGGTTCGTTACTATAAAAATAAATAAAGATATATTTGGCTTAAAACCGTTAGAGTTTAATGTTTTATTTTCTAATTTTATGAACCGGTGTGGTTTAACCTGAAATGACTTGCATCCACGGCCTACTGTCAGCTTTCACAATTTTCTAAAACATGCCCATTTCCAAAAGCTGTCAAAACTGGCGAGATGAGAAGGCTACTTTGACAGCAAATATTGGGTTAAGGTTTGTTCCCTAGTCTTACTCAATACTCCACTGGCAGCTTTTCTTTAAAACTGGATGGAAAATTTTCCTCCTGCTCACTCAGATCTCAGCCCAGTACTCACAGCCCTACCCCTCTGTCCTCAGTACTGCTCTGCTCCCGTCCCAGCTGTTAGACACAATGATGGACCTGAGGACTTTGTTTTTCACCATTATTCTGGTGCCGTGGATGCTCTCTTCTGCAGCAAGAAATGGATACATGGAAGCAAGGAAACCTAAGGTAATTTTTGGAAGTGCATATCTTTTGTAAATATTTTTGGGCAAATGTATGATTATTTGATTTTGTTTAGAGTTTTTGAAAATGTGTTTTTGAGGCAGGATCCCATAACTATTTAAAACCTTCTTACCAGAATCTGTCATACAATTACAAAGCTTAAAGTTTGCATATGAGAGTTGTTATTGAATGTATATCCCCATTTCAGCAAATCATAAAAGTCCCTCACACCAGGTGCCAAACCCTATCCCTGCCTAAATGATGACTCAACATACAGTATTAGTCTGTGATGACTATACATTGGGGGTCTGAGATTACAAATGAATGCTTGCAGATAATCAGACTGTTAGTAAAACTCAGTTGGTGTGAAATAAAATACCCAGCTTATGTCTTCTCTTGTGAGGTGATCTGGAGACATTTCTTCTAAACAATTCCACAGAAAGAGGCTGTGACCATCCCAGACTATGACACCGCTGGAGACTCAGATACAAGCCCAGCAGCAGCTCCTAAAGATGAGGGTGGTGAGTTTATTCTGGAGACACACTGGAGAAAAGGGCTTCACAATAACTTATTTATTAAGGCCATATGCTAGATCTAATGAGCCGTTTTCCCCTTTGTGAATGCAGTAAACATCCAAACATTACAGCAGGAATGTTAAATGTAGTTCCCTGTTGACTAGTATGGCACACGTTTATGTTTGGTTTCTATAAAGAATGAAGAGAGATGAATACAGGGAGGGATTACTTGGCTGATCGATAGGAAAACTTGGAAGTCATTGCTGAAGGAGAATGCATTTAAAGGACATGGCTATGGATTTCAGAGCTGCCCACGTGCCTGCTGTGTGTGTGTCTGACTGGGTCGGTATACTGTGAGGAGGTCTCCCCCGAGATGACAGCAGTTCCATCCCTGCCCAAGGAAACTGCCTATCTCTACGCACGCTACAACAAAATCACAAAAATCACCAACAAAGACTTTGCAGACATTGGTAAGTGATTAGAGTGGCTTTGTAACACTGTGGACTTTTTTAAAGACCAACATTAAGATGTAATTCACTTATCACTCTAGCTTTTTTAGTGAACATCTCTAAAGTTTATGGTCTTTAACATTTTATAGCAACTTTGAGAAGAATCGATCTGACTGGGAACCTCATCTCTGAGATAGAAGACGGAGCTTTCTCAAAGCTTGCTCTCCTTGAAGAGCTCAATCTCTCAGAGAACAAGCTGGCCAAACTACCCATGTTACCTGCCAAACTCATATCCTTCAATGCCAATTACAACCAGCTTAAAACCAAGGGTGTAAAGTCAACTGCTTTTAAGGTATGCCAGGAAGTCAGTCCAAGATTCTGGAGCAAACACTTTTTTTTTTTTTTTTACATACAGTAACATTTTACAGTCTGAGTAATTGTTGCCTTGAATGTCAATAGAATTTGAACAACAATTTCCATGCCAAACATGAATCTTACCTGAAATACCATGCAGTATGTAAACAAAACATCAAATCTCTTTTCTCAGAAACTCACCAAGATGGTGTACCTCTACCTTGGCAATAACGAGCTTGAGGCGATCCCACAACTTCCAGAGAGTCTGCACATTGTGCACCTATATGTCTGTTTACAACTTTCCCTCCCACAGCAATAACATTTAGACAAATATGTATATTTTACCTAACAACACATTTTAGAGTATAAATGCATGTGCAGGCAAATGTATAATTGTAAAAAACTAAACAAAAAAGTTTTTACCAACCAACATCTTGTCTTCTAATCTACTCCCCCTGCAGAACAATAAGATCACCACGCTATCGGATGAGACCTTCTGCCAAGGCAACAACACTCAGTACATCAGAGCCAACATGGAGGAGGTGAGACTGGACGGCAACCCTCTGATGCTGGCCAAGCATCCCAACAGCTTTGTTTGCCTCAGGGCCCTGCCCATTGGACCGTACCACTGAACCAGTGGGATACAGTCTAGAGAGGACCACAATACTACAGTGAGGGGTTCCCTTGTGAAAAGGGCTAACTAATGTAATACACAAGTCAATAGATCATAGCGCAGGAGTGGCATGTAATATGAGAAGTGTGTACCGGTATGTTACGATATATAGAGCAGAGCCATGTAATATGAGAAATGTGTTTGTTTTGTAAGTTACAATTGAATGAGTCTCTTAGGTTGTCTTTCCAACCATGATTGGTTAAATTGGTGTCCTCTTAAGTAGTGCAGGAGTGAACATAGGAGTTCTCTTACACGACATAACTATATGCACAATACTCTTGAGACCATTTTTCCTCAATGTTTATGTTGTTTTATATTTCCAATAGCACATCTGGATATTGCATCAGTTGCATTCATCTACTTTTCAAGTAATAAAGGCTAATAAATGTACATAAAGTCTAACTACAATTTGCAAACATTTGAAACTGTTAACATATATTTTAAATGACATGTAACTTCCCGTAAAAGTTTACATTCATTTATCAGAATAAAAACAATACAAAATTATTCAAACGACACTGCGATGTCTCCACTGAGTAATGTCACTTTTATTAGACGAATACCACGTTGTCATGTTTGGCTCATAAAAATGTTTCATCCCATCTCAGTATAATGAAGAGTACATAAATAAACAATGTTTTATTTTCTCCATACATTAAATATCAGTCTTTTGAACCATCCAGAAATGTTTGCCTCAAGTCTATTGCATTGCAAACACCAGTGTTTGTGTCCCGATCACACCTCAAGTGTTCCACTTCCATTATAGTGGCTACTGGTTCAGTAATTCACTTGGCTACTGGTTCAGTAAGTACAATCAATCCATCATCGATCTTCTGCTGGTATTCCCTCTCTGACTTCTTTCTTCTGTAGACATCATCTGAAGGAGAAATGGAGATGAATGAAACAGAGGGTGGGTTAACTGATTCTATAATAGACAATATATTACACTCTTTACAGTAGCAGAACCAGTGACTTAAAAATTGCACAATCTTAGCTTTCTGAAGAGGACCAACAGACTTGTATTGACTGTAACCTAAGCAGTAGCCCAAGTTGTCTGAAACCAATTTATACTACAGTGTCGATTTCAGACGAACAACTGGAGCAGGGTTTGAATGAGTGACCCTTTGGTTACAGGACAAGTGCCATACAAGCGTGGGCTCTTGTGGCAGAGGTAGTACTCACATTGGGAGGCCACAGGCACACTCCCTTTTATACATCCACACAAACTGTAACTCCATTAAAAGCCCCGAGCTATCAAGGACTATCCCACTGTAGTGAACAACCTGAATATGGCTTAAAACAGAAACTTACAGGGCCGGTGCACTAACGTTAACTCCCACCTGTGCTATAACAATAAAAGTGTGGGCCCTCTTGGCAGAGGTAGGAGTACTACCGTACGTACATTCACATACAGTGATGCTTAAACAGTGTTTGCTTGTTTGACAGTGCAGATAAAGTCAGCCAGAGGTTTGAATACTTACAGAATGTCTCCCTTCCTATCCTCACGTTGATCATGACCCATTCCATCACACCTCCAATACAGAAGAAGACAGGCAGAAATCTGTACACCCCAAAGCGACGTTTCCCTGGCACAAGACTCAGGATGTACTTGATATTTTGACTCTTCCTCTGAAACATTTCTCTCTTCTGTTCCTCGTCTTTCAACACTCACAGTATTTTCAATTACCTAAGTAGCAGGCAAGGTAGCATACCGGCTAAGTAAAATGCCGTCGATAATCCCTTGTTATGTTACTTACTTTATTGCATACCATGCATGGAGACCTTACTTGTCCTTTACCACTGCTTTGATCATGAAGCGGCATAAGAGAAGATGGCGTTGCAGACGTCATATTTCTTAGCGTTTTCATTGGTTCACGTGACGTCAAACTCTTACCAAAGATATTCAACTTCAAACAAGATATCCAACTGCCTACCCCCTTACCAAAGATAATCAACCACCATCAAGCTAGCTTGACGTATGAGATGATAATGAGGGGTTATACATGCTTATGACAAGTCTTACAATGCATTATAACCACATCATAATACTATAATGGATGAATATCCTATATCACTGCAATTTTAAATTGCAAAAAGGATTGGGAAGGAAATGAAAGGCGGAATATCAAATCAAATCAAATTGTATTTGTCAATTGTGCCGAATACAACAGGTGTAGACCTTACAGTGAAATGCTTACTTACAAGTCCTTAACCAACAATGCAGTTAAGAAAAATAAGTGTTAAGTAAAAAATAGATAAATACAAAATAAAAAAATAAAATAATTAAAGAGCAGAAGTAAAATAACAGTAGCGAGGCTATATAGAGGGGGTACCGGTACAGAGTCAATGTGCGGGGGCACAGGTTAGTCGAGGTAATTGAAGTAATATGTACAGTTGAAGTTGGAAGATTACATACACCTTAGCCAAACACATTTAAACTCAGTTTTTCACAATTCCTGACTTTTAATCCTAGTATAAATTCCCTGTCTTAGGTCAGTTAGGATCACCACTTTATTTTAAGAATGTGAAATGTCAGAATAATATTTCAGCTTTTATTTCTTTCATCACATTCAATTAGTATTTGGTAGCATTGCCTTTAAATGGTTTAACTTGGGTCAAACGTTTTGGGTAGCCTTCCACAAGCTTCCCACAATAAGTTGGGTGAATTTTGGCCCATTCCTCCTGACAGAGCTGGTGTAACTGAGTCAGGTTTGTAGGCCTCCTTGCTCGCACACGCTTTTTCAGTTCTGCCCACACATTTTCTATAGGATTGAGGTCAGGGCTTTGTGATGGCCACTCCAATACCTTGACTTTGTTGTCCTTAAGCCATTTTGCCACAACTTTGGAAGTATGCTTGGGGTCATTGTCGATTTGGAAGACCCATTTGCGACCAAGCTTTAACTTCCTGACTGATGTCTTGAGATGTTGCTTCAATATATCCACATAATTTTCCTTCCTCAGGATGCCATCTATTTTGTGAAGTGCACCAGTCCCTCCTGCAGCAAAGCACCCCCACAGCATGATGCTTCCACCCCAGTGCTTCACGGTTGGGATGGTGTTCTTCGGCTTGCAAGCGACCCCCTAATTCCTCCAAACATAAAGATGGTCATTATGGCCAAACAGTTCTATTTTTGTTTCATCAGACCAGAGGACATTTCTCCAAAAAGTACGATCTTTGTCCCCATGTGCAGTTGCAAACCGTAGTCTGGCTTTTTTATGGCGGTTTTGGAGCAGTGGCTTCTTCCTTGCTGAGCGGCCTTTCAGGTTATGTTGATATAGGACTCGTTTTACTGTGGATATAGATACTTTTGTACCCGTTTCTTCCAGCATCTTCACAAGGTCCTTTGCTGTTGTTCTGGGATTGATTAGCATTTTTCGCACCAAAGTACTTTAATCTCTAGGAGACAGAACGCGTCTCCTTCCTGAGTGGTATGACGGTGCGTGGTCCCATGGTGTTTATACTTGCGTACGATTGTTTGTACAGATTAACATGGTACCTTCAGGCGTTTGGAAATTGAAAAAAAAAAAAGGATGAACCAGACTTGTGGAGGTCTACAATTCTTTTTCTGAGGTCTTGGCTGATTTCTTTTGATTTTCCCATGATGTCAAGAAAGAGGCACTGTGTTTGAAGGTAGGCCTTGAAATACATCCACAGGTACCGGGCGGCAGGTAGCTTAGTGGTTAAGAGCGTTGTGCCAGTAACTGAATGGTCGCTGGTTCTAATCCCCGAGCCGACTAGGTGAAAAACCTGTCGATGTGCCCTTGAGCAAGGCACTTAACCCTAATTGCTCCTGTAAGTCGCTCTGGATAAGAGCGTCTGCTAAATGACCAATATATATATATAATATAATATATATATATATAATAATATATAATATATATATAGGTACCCCTCCAATTGACACAAATGATGTCAATTAGCCTATCAGAAGCTTCTAAAGCCATGACATAATTTTCTGGAATTTTCCGAACTGTTTAAAGGCACAGTCAACTTAGTGTATGTAAACGTCTGACCCACTGGAATTGTGATACAGTGAATTATAAGTGAAATGATCTTTCTGTAAATAATTGTTGGAAAAATTACTTGTGTCATGCAAAAAGTGGATGTCCTAATCGACATGCCATGTGGTTGAAAAAGTGGTTGAAAAACGAGTTTAATGACTCCAACCTAAGTGTATGTAAACTTCCGACTTCAACTGTACATGTAGGTAGAGTTAAAGTGACTATGCAAAGATAATAAACAAAGAGTAAAAGTAGCGTAAAATAGGGGGGGGGGGGGAGGACAATACAAATAGTCCGGGTAGCCATTTGATTAGCTGTTCAGGAGTCTTATGGCTTGGGGGTAGAAGCTGTTAAGAAGCCTTTTGGACCTAGTCTTGGCGCTCCGGTACCGCTTGCCGTGCGGTAGCAGAGAGAACAGTCTATGACTAGGGTGGCTGGAGTCTTTGACAATTTTTAGGGCCTTCCTCTGACACCACTTGGTATAGAGGTCCTGGATGGCAGGAAGCTTGGCCCCTGTGATGTACTGAGCCGTACGCACTGCCCTCTTTAGTGCCTTGCGTTCGGAGGCCGAGCAGTTCCCATACCAGGCAGTGATGCAAACAGTCAGGATGCTCTCGATGGTGCAGCTGTAGAATTTTTGAGGATCTGAGGACCCATGCCAAATCTTTTCAGTCACCTGAGGGTGAAAAGGATTTGCCGTGCCCTCTTCTCGACTGTCTTGGTGTGTTTTGACCATGATAGTTTGTTGGTGATGTGGACACCAAGGAACTTGAAGCTCTCAACCTGCTCCACTACAGCCCCGTTGATGAGAATGGGGGCGTGCTCGGTCCTCTTTTTCCTGTAGGCCACAATCATCTCCTTTGTCTTGGTCACGTTGAGGGAGAGGTTGTTATCCTGGCACCACACGGCCAGGTCTCTGACCTCCTCCCTATAGGCTGTCTCATCGTTGTCGGTGATCAGGCCTGCCACTGTTGTGTCGTCGGCAAACTTAAGGATGGTGTTGGAGTCGTGTCTGGCCATGCAGTCATGGGTGAACAGCGAATACAGGAGGGGACTGAGCACACACCCCTGAGGGGCCCCCTTGTTGAGGATCAGCATGGCAGATGTGTTGTTACATTTACATTTACATTTTAGTCATTTAGCAGACGCTCTTATCCAGAGCGACTTACAGGAGCAATTAGGGTTAAGTGCCTTGCTCAAGGGCACATTTACGTCATTTAGCAGACGCTCTTATCCAGAGCGACTACAAATTGGTGCATTCACCTTATAGCCAGTGTGATAACCACTTTACAATTATACTTAAAAAAAAAAATATATATTTTTTTTTTATTTTTTTTTGGGGGGGGGGGGGGGTAGAAGGATTACTTTATCCTATCACAGGTGTTCCTTAAAGAGGTGGGGTTTCAAATGTCTCCGGAAGGTGGTGAGTGACTCCGCTGTCCTGGCGTCGTGAGGGAGCTTGTTCCACCATTGGGGTGCCAGAGCAGCGAACAGTTTTGACTGGGCTGAGCGGGAACTATGCTTCCGCAGAGGAAGGGGAGCCAGCAGGCCAGAGGTGGATGAACGCAATGCCCTCGTTTGGGTGTAGGGACTGATCAGAGCCTGAAGGTACGGAGGTGCCGTTCCCCTCACTGCTCCATAGGCAAGCACCATGGTCTTGTAACGGATGCGAGCTTCAACTGGAAGCCAGTGGAGTGTGCGGAGGAGGGGGGTGACGTGAGAGAACTTGGGAAGGTTGAACACCAGACGGGCTGCGGCATTCTGGATGAGTTGTAGGGGTTTAATGGCACAGGCAGGGAGCCCAGCCAACAGCGAGTTGCAGTAATCCAGACGGGAGATGACAAGTGCCTGGATTAGGACCTGTGCCGCTTCCTGTGTAAGGCAGGGTCGTACTCTCCGAATGTTGTAGAGCATGAACCTGCAGGATCGGGTCACCGCCTTGATGTTAGCGGAGAACGACAGGGTGTTGTCCAGGGTCACGCCAAGGCTCTTCGCACTCTGGGAGGAGGACACAACGGAGTTGTCAACCGTGATGGCGAGATCATGGAACAGGCAGTCCTTCCCCGGGAGGAAGAGCAGCTCCGTCTTGCCAGGGTTCAGCTTGAGGTGGTGATCCGTCATCCATACTGATATGTCGGCCAGACATGCAGAGATGCAATTCGCCACCTGGTTATCAGAAGGGGGAAAGGAGAAGATTAGTTGTGTATCGTCAGCGTAGCAATGATAGGAGAGGCCATGTGAGGATATGACAGAGCCAAGTGACTTGGTGTATAGGGAGAAAAGGAGAGGGCCTAGACCTGAGCCCTGGGGGACACCAGTGGTGAGAGCACGTGGTGCGGAGACAGCTTCTCGCCACGCCACTTGGTAGGAGCGACCGGTCAGGTAGGACGCAATCCAGGAGTGAGCCGCGCCGGAGATGCCCAGCTCGGAGAGGGTGGAGAGGAGGATCTGATGGTTCACTGTATCAAAGGCAGCAGACAGGTCTAGAAGGACAAGAGCAGAGGAGAGAGAGTTAGCTTTAGCAGTGCGGAGAGCCTCCGTGACACAGAGAAGAGCAGTCTCAGTTGAATGACCAGTCCTGAAACCTGACTGGTTTGGATCAAGAAGGTCATTCTGAGAGAGATAGCAAGAGAGTTGGCTAAAGACGGCACGCTCAATAGTTTTGGAAAGAAAAGAAAGAAGGGATACTGGTCTGTAGTTGTTGACATCAGTGGGATCGAGTGTTGGTTTTTTGAGAAGGGGTGCAACTCTCGCTCTCTTGAAGACGGAAGGGACATGGCCAGCGGTCAAGGATGAGTTGATCAGCGAGGTGAGG